GAGTTTGTGTTGCTGCGGTGCAGGAAGCTGCACGCAAGCCAGAAGAAGATAAAGTGAATTTCCTTTCTCATACAGCTAGCAGCAGCTCTGCATGATGCGGGGTGTACATACACCCCGCTTCATGCAGAAAAAACCAAGCGGCTGCAAGCGGCAGTTGCTGAGGTGTATGTACACCCGAGTGAGCGAACAGTAGGTGGACCGGTGGGTGAGGGGGGGGGGNGGGGGGGGGGGGGGGGGGGGGGGGGGGGGGGGGGGGGGGCTCAGGAGAAAGAAAGAAAGAAGGTTTAAATGTATTCGTGTGTGTATTTGTTTTAATTTTATTTTATTTCACTAAAAAGGTATTTTATATATACAAGCGGCGGAGGAACCGCAGCCATAGAAGCCGCTTACTATGCTAGCCCCGCCACCCAGCAGCTCCACTATACAGTGTTATATATGCGGTGTATTGGGGGGCTGGTGGGGGTATTTCGTGTTTATTTTTGGTTGAAGTTTGTGAAATTTATATTAATTTATATAAATAAAGAATAAAAACAGCTCCATGTTAAGAGCTGAAGCGTCAGGTGTATAGACACCTCACTCTCGGGCTCTGCACGCACGCCTACGGTGTTGCTGCGCTCGTTTTTGTTTGTTGTTTTTGCTTTATTTTTGTGTTTTATTTATCTTCTTTAATTAATAAAAGGTATTTTTTTCAGATTATCTTTGTATTTTCTTCTGGTTTCCCTTTTTTTTCTGCTGTTGCCCGCGACGTGCAACACCCCTCCTTCATCGACATATACCTGCAGTGGGCGGTGTATATGCATCAGCATTTTCTCTGCTTCTTCTTTTTTTTTTCTTTTTTTTTTGTTCTCTTTTATATATTTTCTGCTCTTTCATCCCGCAGCATAGTCGCTTCTTCTCTTAGCCAGCAGCAGCTCCGCCACGCAGCAGCGCGTTGACGCCGGTGTGTGCTCCTGCTGCTGTTCTTGCTGCTGCTGCTGCTGTTGCTGCTGCTGCTGCTGCTGCTGTTGCTCTACACGCACTTACAACGCAACTGACTGGTGAGCACGGGCTCCTCGCATGCGCTTCATCGCTGCTTCTGCTGCTTCTGCTGCAGCCGTTCGCACGCCTGCTGCTGC